AAAAAACGACTCAGGATGCAGAGCCGGTCATAGGGAAAGGGTCGGGACCTCTGGGGGTCGACGTAATGAAAAAATCATTACGTCGGGGGTCTGGGATCCTGGGAATCCTGGAGCTCATGGAACGCATCAGTCTCATGACCTTGAAGGGGGCCCGGGGGCACACAAAGAGATGGACGCACATCCCCGGATGTCCCTATGTTTTCGCTCTGCCCTGGAGGTTCGATGTCCCACCCCACGTCCCACACGTTCCAGATGTTCGCGGGCATCGGCAATTCTTTGGACCTGTGCTTCTGCCCCTCCTGAGATCTCCTGCCCTCCTTGTGATCCCCCTCCGTGGGAGGGACGCAAAAGTCGGGGGCGGCCAAGAGGGGGGCGCCCAAGCGAGGGGGGGCGCACATCATGGCCGGCGGCATGTGCGCGGCCCAGGGGGTGGGGGGGCAGGAACGCAATGAAACAAGACGAGGCGCCATGAAGTCTCGGGAAACATCATGGCCGGCGCCTTGACATCCCCTCCTCCTCCTCCTCCTCCTCCTCCTCCTCCTCCTCCTCCTCCTCCTCCTCCTCCTCCTCCTCCTCCTCCCCCCTAGTCCTCACCCCCCTCTCTGCCGCCCCCGAAAAAGAGAGATGCCTGCCGCCGCTCGCCCTGCCGGTGGGGCCTCGACCCCTTGCCAAGTGCCACCCCCCGCGCACTGCAGCGCAGCGCGGCGGGCCGGGGGGAACACGCGAGGGGCGGGCGCGAGGCACCGAGCTCGTAGACGCGCCCTCCTCCTCCTCCTCCTCCTCCTCCTCCTCCTCCTCCTCCTCCTCCCCTCCTCCTCCTCCTCCTCCCTCCTCCTCCTCCCCCTCCCCCCTCCCCTCCTCCCTCCTCCTCCTCCTCCTCCTCCTCCTCCTCCTCCTCCCCCTCCTCCTCCTCCTCCTCCGAAGCGGCGGGCGAAAAACGAGGCGGATGTCATGGGGATTTGTTTTTGTCGTCGCCACTCCCGGGCCCACAAACACATCCGCACGAGGTTCCCCTCGAAATCCGGAGCGAAACTCTCCGGGCCAATCCGGGTCCATCCCATGGATGTCCGAACGAGATCCGCTCTGCGATGTTGGCGCCATGAGAGGAAGCAAGTTCGCGGAAGCCCTAAACATCGGAGGCCTCCTGGGTGGGATCCGAGTAGATACAGTCCACCCGCATGATAAGGACGCACGATGAGGATGCAAGGGCCTTGGAAGGCCATGTCAACACTGTGCGAGAGGGGCGCGGCCAGCGAGAGCGGCCAAGAAAGGGCCGACGGGAAAGGATGCAAGGGGAACCTTGGAAAATCGCTCGTCCTTACTATGCGGGTTGACTGTAGATAGGTGGCGACTTTCGAACCCTACCCCCCCAACCATCGATTCCCCTGAGTCGATGGGAGGCGGCGGCTGGGTTCGGGTTTCACCACGTGCTCCACGAATTCCGAACCCTGCCCCCTCCACCCATCGAGTTGCCTAACTCGTTCATCGGCGAGGGTAGGGTTCGGATTATGCCAGCGGTAGATGATGTCGGAGGATCTCGCCACATCGCCGGGCCAGCGGAGATGCATCGGCGATGCATCGGCGACGTCGGCGATGCATCGGCGCCGTCGGCGTGGAGAAAGTCGGGCTCCAGATCAAGCCGCATCGCCGATGCATCGGCGATGCGGCGCGATCCTCCAATTCAATCCCGTCTACTTGGACCTCATCTTCGAGACCTCGAAACATCGTCATAGCCTCATGGACTCGACTCACTCGGCGACGCGCCACGCCACGGTGGAACGCGGTCCGCGCCACACGGCCTGGTCCGGAAAAACCCTGAGCCCGAACATGTCGGCATCTCTTGGGGTGGCGGCTGCTTCCGCCGGCCTTTCCCCTGGCTCCCGCCAGCCGCCCCCGCCCTGGATTCCGCGCGCCCTCCGCGCGCCCTCCCCTGGGGTGTGAGTCCAGAGTGGTGGAGGAGCAGGGATCGGAGGAGGAGGAGGAGAACGAGGAGGAGGAGGAGGAGGAGGAGGAGGAGGAGGAGGAGGAGGAGGAGGAGGAGGAGGAGGGGGAGGAGGGGGAGGAGGAGGAAGGGGAGGAGGAGGGGGAGCCCCTCGCGGCTTCTCGGGCGAGCCCCTTGCCGGAGCGCCCTACGTCCGCCGGACCCAGGGCGGGGCGCCAGGACGACGACAACTCCGTTCCAAAGCGTTCCGTGACGCTCTCAGAGCGTTCCGGAGCGCTCTGAAAGGCCGCGGCGCCCGATACATCCTCCAGAGCCGCCGGATCTCAGAGATTCTCGATTTGCCATCACACGAATGTATCCTCATTTTGGCTTCTTCGTAGGACCAGCCGCCCCCCCCCCCCTCGCTGGGGGACAACCAGATACACAGCCGGACCTGGGACCTAGAACAGAACAACATCCTTGAACATGAGACCCTCCGCCGACCTAACTGCAGAATGTTCGAGGGTGGTCCCCCCCAGAATACACACGAACATCCAAGAAACACGAAGAACAAAAGGGTTGACGAACGAACAGCACGCACCCATACCCATGGGGAGCGGAGGGGGCTATGGGTGCGTGCTGTCGGATGGGGGTCCCCGTTCGAACACGAGCCTCCCCAAGGGTCCGACAGCCCGCACCCATGCCCATGGCCAGTCCTCCTCCCTCCGACCCTCCTATGGGTATAGGTGTGTGTTGAGGAGGAGGAGGAGGAGGAGGAGGAGGAGGAGGAGGAGGAGGAGGAGGAGGAGGAGGAGGAGGAGAAGGAGTAGGAGGAGGAGGAGGAGGAGGAGGAGGAGGAGGAGGAGGAGGAGGAGGAGGAGGAGTTGTTCGCTCGTCAAGGGTACCCTCCCCGACCCGACCTCGGTCTGTCACCTCGGCCCGGCCGTGCTCCCCAGGCACGTCGAGGGCGGGCCACCGAGGCGACTCTGGCCGCGGTGGCGCGGGCCCTGGCGGGGGACATAACACAAGCCCAGGCCACGCTGACGTTAGGTCGGGCATGTCACCCGACAGGCGGAATTTGGACGAAGAATTCATACATACCCCAAACATATGCAAAAACAGTCTAGACATCGTCCCCAAACCAGTTTTGACAATGTTTGGATATTCCTCCTGTAGAGGGGACAGGCCCGACTTAACGCTAACGGCGATGTCGGTTCACGGCGATGTTGGGAGTCTGGAATTTGCGACGCCGAACTCGCGCAGAACGAGCTGCCGAACAACACGAATGAGACTTGCCGACAATTGGGCTGGCCACGAACCACCCCCACCTACAATACCGAAAGCTGCATCGCCGTTACCAGCATCGCCGTTAGCGTGCATACGGAAAAATGCGAAGACGATGGACCCGCGTTGCTGTCGGCGTAATTTTCTCCTGCGCCCCCCCTGTTGCCCGCTCGCTTTCCGCTGCGAGAAACTAAAGCAGCATCGCGAAAAGCACGGCCACAACCCCAAGCCTCATCTCGCTGGTCTGCATTTTCGAGCCGGGCCGATCTGTGCTGGCTCCGAAAAACAAAACGAGAAAGCCCGGTCTGAAAACCTGCAGCGCACCGATCTCACGGTGTTTTCCCTAATCAGTGCTTGCACTGGAGGGGTTCTAGCGGAAAATGAAAAATTAGGCGACAATTTCTCGCCGATTTTGGTAGCTGGCTGGGTTCCCGGGTTCCCGGGTTCCCGGTTATTGGTGCCGGGCCGATTTCGGTGGGTTCCGGGTTCCCGAGTTCCCGGTCGATCTCCTTTTCGAACGAACCATCCACTGATTGGGGTTCTCCTCTGGTGTGATATATTCCTTCGCAGAGGGGCGAGGGAAGGGGCGGAGGTGGGAGCTGGGAAGGCTCCGACAAACACGCTGCGGCAGCAGGGCGGGAGCCGTGCTCTCTTCGGGCCGGGAGGGCAGCACAGCTGGGCGGACTCCCCCGAGCAGGAGCCGGTTCTGCGTGCACCCGCGGAGGCCGATGCCACACGGCTGGAACCAAGCGTTGCTTGCTGTGCTGTGGTTCGCTTTGCGCTCTGCCTGTTTTCCTGCACCTCCCTGCCAACACGGCAGGCAGAGCACGGCCGAAGTTTCGGGGAACAGCGCTCAGGTCCAGCCCTGCAGTGCCAGGCGCGTCCCGGCTCGAGCACGAGGGGGGAGCACGAGGAAGAAAAGGGTGCGGGGGGGCCTCCTCCCCAGACCTCCTGGCGTCGTGGCAAAAATCGCGACGGGATCGAGGCTCTTCGCTATCTTCGGCCTCCGGGGGCCCTCACCAGGCCTCGGGAGCGTCAACAAAACGATTCAGGACGAAGAACCGGTCCGGGGGAAGGGGTCCAGACCGTTGGGGTCGACGTTCCCAGACCCCCGACGTAATGATTTTTTCATTACGTCGACCCCCAGAGGTCCCGACCCTTTCCCTATGACCGGCTTTGCATCCTGAGTCGTTTTTTGACGCTCCCGAGGCCCGGTGAGGGCCCCCGGAGGCCGAAAATTAGGAAAAACCTCCCGTCGTGATTTTTTCATTACTCGAGGGGGTCTGGGTTGTGAAAAAATCACGGCGTCGGGGGTCTGGGTCGGCCGTCTCGGGGCACGCTCGGTGCCATACTGGGCCATCATAGCGGAGCAGCTGGGGGGCCCGTCGGACCGGGCGGGGCCGGCGTGAGGGTCTTTGGGTCGGACGGGGGGAAGTCTATATGTTGATGACTTGCCAGGGGAACGAGTACCCATGCACAGCGCTTTGGCGCAAGGCTTCGAAGAACAGCGCGTTGCTGGACGAATCAGGCGGGGTCGCAACTAAACCAATGCGAGGGAGGCCGTGGCTTGGCGATGGAATACCCGACACAGGAAGAGGCAGAGGAGGGAGGCGGAATGGAACCGGATCTGGGGCTGGGTGTGGGGCCATGTTGGCCCATCTTGGGTTCGCTTGGGGCCCTCTTTGGGAAGGCGCAGAGGCGAGCTGGAACTGGGGGGCCTCTGTTGCCCGTCTCGTAGCGGACTTTTTCCTTTTCGAAGGGCGGAACTGCTGGAACAGACTATTCACTTGCTGGACTACTGAACTTTGGCGAATCCACAGCTCACCACTGGCTGCTTCCCATTAGCAATCGTTCTCGCTGCTGCCCTCGCCGCCAGCACAGCAGGGACCTGGAGCACCTGTGCTTACCAAGCGGAGTAGCCTTTGCTTTTGCCCTTGCCCTTGCCCTTGCCCCCACCGCCGCCGCCTCCACCCGTCACCCTGCAGTTGACGCCCTTGTACTTGCCCTTGCGGTCATCCCACTCCTTGTCGAATGTCACTGCGTCTCCTCCCGAGTCGACCCCGTCGAGCTCTGGATTGTCCTTGACATGCACAAAGCAGTCATCGCCTCCGTCATCTGGGGTCACGAAGCCGAAGCCCTTCTCGGCAAACATACTCTTGAGAACGCCTGATGTGGACATGGCGTCAAGAGGACACTGAGCACGATTACTGGCACCAGCACTCGACACTCCTTGAACTAAAATTGCTATGGATTCTGTCTCGGAGCCACCTTCAGCTGAAAAGTTGATACTTAAGTACGCGGCAAATCCATTCAGAATTTGCATCGACTTGACACCTCGGGAGTGTTCTATGAGCTAGCTTGAAGCCTCTGGGAGCCCATCTTTGGGCACCATGGGCCGTCGTCGATGCCTCTTGGCCACTTCGGGTAGGCCGTCGTGGAAGCATGTGAAGGGAGAGCTCAGGAGCCGGCGAGGGAGGACCAGGGGGGACGACGAACGAGGGAACCCAAGAAATGAAAAGGAAGACCTCCGCGCTCTAAGAGACAGCCGTGCAATAACTATGCCGTGGCTCCGAGCACTAAGAACACAGCTGCACGAGAGACTCGAGGGGATCCGAGCTCTACGACACAGCTGTGCAAACGAGCAAGCGGCACGCGCGCCCTGGATCGTGCACGAGTGAGTGGCACGGGGCATGAGGACGAGAGCGAGTCGCAGAGGATAGCGCGTCGCGCCGAAGCGCAGTGGCCCAGAACCGGCGACGCGACAGGCGAAGCAAAAGTTCCCGACCGTACCTCGGCAACTTGATGCCCACGCCCCTCACAAGCGCACGGTGCTCGTGAGCAGCTTGCCGCACCGCTGTGGTGGTTAGGCTGTCGCTTTGCTCTGGGAAGCACCGGTCTCATGCAAAACATCGACTTGCAACATCCCTTGAAATACCAGGCCTACGACGGTTCATCCGCCGCGGAGCCCCCTGGCACGTGGAGGCGTGGTAGAATGCCAAGGGTTGCCTGGCAGTGGTCATGTACCCTTCCAAGAGACCCCCCCCTCTCAGTAGATTATCCTGTGTATCGCCCTCCCTCCCGGGGCCACGATCGGTCGCAAACGAACAGAGGATCCACGCTCCCACAGCCATTCCGAGAGCCGAAATCGGCCTAAGGAGGTCCCTAGAGGGCCCCGTCCGAACCCAAGGAAGCCGCATGACGGCCCAATGGGCTCCCTCAGACGGCCCAAGAGAGCCCCGGCCCAAGAGAGCCTTCAAAGAATCCAAGACGGCCCCCAGGGAACCCCCGAGACTGCCCCACGGAAGCAAAAGGCAGCACCAAAGCAGCCCAAAACTCGGCCCCGTGGGAGAGGAGGAGTAGGAGGAGGAGGAGAAGGAGGAGGAGAAGGAGGAAGAGGAGGAGGACGAGGAAGAGGTCGACAACAAGGACGAGGGAGGACAAGGAGAGGGAGGAAGGCAGAGGAAGGAGAATCGGGAAGCCAGAAAAAAGAGAGGGGAAGATGGAGAGGCAGATGAGCCGGGGAGATGTGGAGGGGCCTCCTCATTCTCCCCCCCCTTTTCCTCTCCTCCTCCAGTTCCCCATGTTCCTCATTCTCGAACTCTTCCCGAAACTTTCGCTCCCGATCCTCCTCAGTTTCACCCTTCTTCTTCTTCTTCTGCATGCACCCTTTTCAACCACTGGACGCATTTCTCGATACGTGCGTATCATCCCTGCGCAGGTGTCATGCTAATATGATCCGTTTCATTCTAAGCTCCACAGTTTGCACATAATATACCCGAATGGAATCCTCTCCTCCCTCTTCTCCTCCCGCTTCTCCTCCTCCTCCTCCTCATCCTCCTCCTCCGTCTCTTACTTCTGCTCTCGTCCACGGTGGCATCGTAGGTCCATTATTATGTTGCAAGTTCGCCTCCTCTTTCTTCTCCCACCAGCCCCTCCCAAACATCAAACCACGATCATTGTTATTTTACCTCCGCCTGCTCACCCTGTCCCCGCTCCTAATAATTAGATTCTCCCTGCCTGCCTGCCTGCATCCCTCCTGGCCTCGTGGTCGCACTGGTAGACGCCGTAGCCGGCGGCGTTGAGCGAGTCCACGATCTCCTTCGGCGAAGAGGAGAATAGATAAGAGGAGAAGGATGTGTGGCACAACCAGCCCACGCTCCATGCCCCGCGCGACGCAGGGGAGGAGACAGAGGATGCGCTCGCGTCCTAGAGCGATATCTCTCCTGGGGGGCTGGCCTTTGAGATCCGCATCCGCCCGGGGACTCCCCGAGCTTTCCTGAACATGCGCGGGTGTGCCTGTGGGGGTACGGTCGGGAACTTTGGCTTATATAGCGTGCCGCCACGGCGGCTCCTGCGACACGCAATGTCCTGCGGGCAAATAAAGTGGCGCTCCGCTCCGCTGGGCGGGAGGCTGCGAAAGGCTCGGGACGTTAAAGCATGGGGACTGGGAAGTCGAGTGAGTATCGCGCCGAAGCGTAGTGGGCCAGAACTGGCGGAGCGACACGCTATTCAAATGACCCCGATCGCATCAGCCAGCACAGGACCTCGGCCGCGAGAAACCCTCCACGGGAAATTCGGCCCTGAAATCCAAGACCGTTGACAATCTCAGCCGAAACCTCCACGCGCAAGAAACCCAGGGAACCCTACCAAATGCAGTCTGCTTCGTGGAATGGGCCTCCACCGTATGCTGGCCTCGACTGCCTCACCTTCGATACCCACAGCTGGCAACTCTCGAACGGGCGCGGCTGCCAAGCATGCGGGCCTCGGGAGCCTCGCTTCTGAGGCCCACGACTGCCGACTGATGGATGCCGCGCCGCGAGCCGATGCACAAACAGAGCCCTTTCAGAAACTGGCAGTTCAAGCCCGAACGGTTCGATCCGAACTAGCTTGTGCCAAATCTACGGGCACACACATACACGCGTTCACAAGCGCGTCAAGCAACGAACGCATATCAACTCTCATCCGTGGGCCCCCCAGGGCCATCGGGGGATAAGAAACATCTGCGGGCGGCACCTGCTGTCTGGACAATATATTATTCGAGGCGCCTACTGCAGCGTGCCCATTCCAACAAAGCGGACTGCATTGTGCTTCGGTGCATCCTCCTGCCTCCTCCCACCTTCCCTCCCTATTCTCTTCCTGCCTCCTGTCATCATGCCTTCTCCCGCCTCGTCCTCATGCCTCGCTTTATTGTACATGCTCCCGCCTTACCCTCTCCCCTACTCCATACTCCTGCCTCCAAACTCCGTTTAATACTGCATCATCCCTCCGTCCCCCTCTGACAGTCCCTCCCCCTCCTGAACGTGTGTGCGTGTATGGGTGTAAGCGTTTATGTGTGTATGTGTGTAGTGTGTAGCGTGTAGCGTGTAGCGTGTAGTGTGTAGTCTGAAGTGTGTAGCGTGTGGTGTGTGGCGTGCAGCGTGTAGCGCGTAGCGTGCGTAAGTCTGTGAGTATGTTAGTGCGTATGTGTGTAAGCGTGTATGTGTGTATGTGTGTAAGCGCGTATGTGCATACGTGTGTAAGTGGGTAAGCGTGTAAATGTGTACATAAGTGTGTGTAAGTGTGTACGTGTGTGTAGTTGTGTGGTTGTGTGTTTGTGTGCGTGAGTGCGTGCGTGCGTGCGTGTGCGTGGGCGAGTGCGAATGCGTGGGCGTGTGGATGTTTGTGCGTGTGCGTGTGCGGGTGCGTGTGCGTGTGTGTGTGTGTGTGTGCGTGTGTGCGTACAAGTGTGCGTGTGTGTGTGTGTGTGTGCGGAGGTGTGCGTGTGTGTGTGTGTGTGTGTTTGTGTTTGTGTGCGCTTGTGTGTGCGTGTGTGTGTGTTTGTGTGCGCTTGTGTGTGTGGTGTGTGTGTGTGTGGGTGGGTGGGGGGGGGGCGTGGGGCGTGCGTGCGTGCGTGCGTGCGTGCGTGCGTGCATGCGAACGTGCGTGCGAGCGTGTGTGTGCGCGCGTGTGTGCGCGCGTGTATGTGTGCGTGCGTGTGCACGCGCGCGCGTGTGCGTGTGTGTGTGTGTGTGCGCATGCGTGTGTGTGTGTGTGTTTCTGTGTCTGTGTGCGTGTGCGTGTGTGTGTGAATGTCTGTGTGCTGTGTGTGTGCGTGTGGGGGGGGGGGGGGTAGGGGGGGTGCGTGTGTGCGTGTGTGTGGGTGTGTGGGTGTGTGGGTGTGCGTGTGTGGCTGTGTGGGGCTGTGTGTGTAGGTGTGTGGGTGTTGGTGTGTGTGTGGGTGTGTGTGAGAGTGTGTGTGGGCGTGTTTGTGTGGGTGCGTGTGTGGGTGTGTGTGCGTGTTTGCGCGTGTGCGTGTGTGCGTGTGCGTGTGTGCGTGTGTGCGTCTGTGCGTGTGCGTGTGTGCGTGTGTGCGTGTCCGCCAGGAGCCCGCATGCAACGCCGTGGCCGTGGTTCTGGGCCCGCTTCCTATTCCGGTATGTGTATATGTGTATATATACAGATACATACACACATTCACATACATCTATATGTACAAACATATATTCTTTTTTTTTATTCGTCCAGGAATGGCAGTCTCAAGATTTAGCTCCCTAAGTTTACCGAGCAAGGGACTCGTGCCTCGCGGGGGCGAGGCGCAGCGCCAACAGAGGCCTACAGAGGCAGAGGTCGGCGGATAAAACCGGCGGCACAAGGCTGAGGGATGGGTGCTGGGAAGCTACACATTTCGGCCTGCGTACGCGCAGCGGGCGAGCGACGAGCTGGGAAGTCACGGATCGCACACCTGCAAAACGAGTATTCCCGAGTCCGGGAAGGAGCTCAGAAACGAGTCAAAACTGATATCTGGAGCGGGGTGCTCACAGATATGCTGCTCACCTGCATCTGCAAACCCAAACTGCACAGCCACATCTGTTGTGAGGACTTTCATGCCTACTGCATGGCTCACTTGCTTGATGACCTGCTTGCAGACGTATTGGAATTTGTGCACGCCCTTCACACTAACTGATAGTGGGGCGCCGGCCGGTAGCTCGCCGTCGCCATCCGCCAGGATCGTGCGAAGAAGTACGGGGAGCTGCACGGCCTCACCTTCATGCAGGAGCTGCTTCATCTGGCCGACCGCGGAGAACCCTGGAGAATCCTGTGCCTCCTCGTATTCGGACTCCTCCGGCTCCTCTGGCACAGAGGGGCGGGTCTGGATCAAGTCATCGATGCACGAGGCGCCGTCCTTGATGCTCGGAGCGACGTCCTGCAGCACCGGGAACGGCTCGATGCTCGGCAGCTTCATTGGCGCGGCTGGGCTGGCAGGCTCTGCCACTCCCTCGCCCCCACCACCAGCCGCCGGCGGGGTGAGGTGCACGGCCTCTGCATCCCTGTCGGGAAAGGTTCCTCCGGAGGGCGAGGACAGGAGGGGGCCCCGATCGGCAGCACTGCCACAGCCTAGCTGGGACTGGCACCTGTAGTCGTTCTCGTCGCAGGCCCCGGTCCCGGTGCCGTACTCGAGGTAGGTCTCGGCCGGCTGGCCTGGGAGGGTCTTGTCGTAGTCGGCGTCGCTGTAGACGAGGCCGTCGTCGCGGTGGTCGGCGTCGACGCCGGAGTCGCCATCTGCTGCGGCTGGGCGGCTGCCGGCGAGCCCCGAGCCCGCGGGCGGCGGGCTCTGCGGGAGCGGCTGCCCGCATCCCGCGACTGGCGGGCGCTGCGGGAAGGGCGGCGGCTGCGGCTCCGCGCTGCCGCTGCAGGAGGCGCTGCTAGCTATGCCAGAGCAGCCACCACCTGCTGTATCTCGTTCTCGTCCTGCGGCGTCGCCACGTCCTGTGTATGACGGAGGCGAAGGAGTGTCAGCCGCTTCTGGAGCGCCATCCTCTCGACCAGGTCGATGGGAGGCCCCATTGGCAAGCGCGAGGCGCGAGTCGAGGGAGGCCCCATTGTACAAACATATATAGATGTATCCGCCACCGTGCTGCTGGGCAAGGAGTGGGCGTGTCCTCAGGTCCTCTCGCTATCCCTCTGAGCTTCAGTCCTCGCTCCGGAAGGATCGTTAAGGGGTTCGGAGCCCCTCGGCCCAAATCTCGTTGGGCGTGGGGCGGTTCCCCTGGGCTCCATCCAGCGTTTCCGCATGAATTGTTCGGGCCCGGGAGGGCCCCAAAAAGCCTCCAAGACGGTCCAACAGGGCCCCGAGTCGCCGAACGATCGCTCCAAGACTCTGAAGATTGTCACCAGACAGCCCAAGAGAACCCCGAGATGCCCAATGAGTCCTCCAAGAGAAGAGGCCTTCCAAGAACGCCCCAGGAAGCCCAAAGCTTTGATTACCCGTAGGTTCTCGGAAGGATTTGAGCATTCTCGCCTTGTCGGACGGCCCAAGAAGCCTCCAAGAGGTCCCCAAACCGGCCCAAGACGGCCCAAAGATCTGGTAGCGTTGGGGGGCCGAAAAAGCGAGAATACCAGAATGCGTCCAAAACATCTGGTAAATCAATGTTTTTGCATCTTACAGCCCTCTCGGGAGTGCTCATTGGAGGCCTCTTGGAGCATCTGCGAGGCCCCTGGTCCGTCTGGAGGCCGTCTTGGTCGTCTTGGCGTGATCTCTGGGCGCCTCGGGGCCCTTTTGGAGCGTCCTGGTGGCTCTCTTGGGCGCTTTCTGCTGGCGCTTTTGGTCGGCCTCGGGAGCCCCCCCCCAAATCTCGCCCAGGCACATACACTTGTGGTCGGGGCTCCGGCTCCGGGGCCCCTGGGCCCCTGGGCCCGGTCCCTCGCTAGATGTGTATATATAAATTTATATTATTATATATATATAATATTCACATATATATATATATATATACATATATACATATATATATTCATAGAAATATATATATATATATATATTATATGTATACATATATATATATATATATATATATATATATATATACTCACAGATCCAAAAACGACCCGAGTACCAGAGCCCCTCGTGTGCCAGGAACGGCCATTCCTGCGGCGCCGTGGCTGCAGCTGGCCGAGCTGGCGGTGTCCTTCAGCAGCCCGTAGCGGCGCATCATCGCCTGCGCGTCGTAGCACGGCTTGGCCTCGAGTCCCCGGCCAGCGAGACACCAGGCATCGTCGACGACGGCGGCTTCAACGACGACAACGATAATCACGACGACGGGAACTACGACGACGCCCACTACCACCACGACAACGATAACGGCCACGACTACGTTGACGGCGACCTCGACGAGAACGACAACCACCGACGACAACGGCCTCAACGACGGCAACGACCACCCCCACCACGACGACGACGAGGACGATGACGACGACGACGACGAGGACGAGGACGACGACGACGACGACGACGACGACGACGACGACGACGGCGACGACGACGACGACGGCGACGATGGCGACCCGGGTCACCGGCCCTCGCTGTAGGCGCACAGCGCTGGCATCGGCGGCTGGCCTCCTCTTAGGGTCCCGCAGCGGGCAGCGGTCATGGTTACCTCCGCCACGCCGATGTTCAATCAGCAGATGGATATGCGTGAAGACGGGCCATGTTCAACCATCTACTGACCACATTGTGCGGCTGCGTAAGCAAGGCTACGCGCACACACACACACACACACTGGTCAAGCAAAGACTGCATCACATCCTTCGGCACAGGAGCTTGCACTGCAAGCTCTACTAACGTACTGCCGCTACTCCTCCTCCTCCACCTCCTCCGCCTCCTCCCTAGGGGAGGGTCCACGAAGAAGGCATCCAAGAGGAGGGGGTCGCCGATCATGGCCCGAGGCAGGCGCGCTGCAAAGAAGAAGAAGAAACAGAGAGAGGCCATGATATCATGAAGAAGAAAAAAAGAATAAGAAGAAGATGATGAAGAAAAATAATAAGAAGAGAAAATAAGAAGATGATGATGATGATGATGATGAAGAAGAAGAAGAAGAGAGGGGGCCATCATATCACGGGAGAATGCCTGGCCCTGGCCATGTTATCCCCCCCAAAGTCACCACCCCTGTGTTTGCCGCCTCCGGCTCCTACCGTCGGGGCGTTGACCCAAGGAACCCCAAAGAGGGAGCCGAGGCCCCTGTTCTCCACAAGTAGAACTTCGATGTCCCATCGAAAACCTAAGGAACACCCAAGGCGAACTGTCAAACAATCAAGGCACACGGAGCCCCACTTCCTGCGCCCTCCCATCCCGGGTCCCGCAGGATCTTCGGGTGCGCCGAAGACAGGCAGAAAGACAGATGCCGGAACACACGTGCGATAGGACGGACACATCAGGAGCTCGGCGAAGGCGCCGCAGCCCATGAAAGAACTGCACACTGTTCCGAAAAGCCTGGCAAGTTGTCTAAGTCAGCGTCATGTTTGCGAGGGAGTGTTGGGCCAGGAAGAGTGGGGTTAAGATGAGTGCTTCAGTCGAAGAGGGGAGTCAGGAAAATTGGGGTTAGCGCGCCATGTGCCCGATAGGTGCCTGCGCGGACGAGGGGGGGACCAGAGAACGCGCTGCAAGACGAAGAAAAGGGGGCCAGAAATCTGGGAGATTCCAGGCCCTCGTCCATGGTATCGCCCCCTAGCTTGTGCATCCTGTTATTCTGTCAACATTATGGGCGGGCAATGCCTGCGTGCGTACGGCGGCCGTGTGAGGCCGGTGGGCGTGCTTAAGAAATGCACGCTGGCATGAATGCCTTTGAGCATGCCCAGGCGAGTTCAGATTGGCCGTGCTGGTTATATATATATATATATATACACACATATATACATATATATACACATATATGTTTATATATATATATATACATATATATATATATATACATATGATCGCTCCGGGTATGGCCGCTGTGGGCGTGTCTGAGCGCGTTTCGGCGGGCGGCGTTTTGCAGAAGTCAAAGGGAAGAGCAACCCCTAGCCTCGGGGGGCGCTTGGCACGCGGTCGCCAAAGCCATGGATCGGGGGACGCGCCCTCCCCAAAAATGCGGCCGGTGCCGCCTCGCTGCGGCGGCGGAAGTCCGCGATTTCCCACGGAAGCGGGGCCCGTCGCTCCTCTTAGGTCGGGCATGTCCCCCTACAGGAGGGTTTTGGACGGAAGCTTTCAGCTTTCAGCTTTCAGGAGGGTTTTGGCACGTCCCCCTACAGGCGAACATTTCAGAGAATGCGAAGCAAATATCAAAAATGGTCCCCAAATCGTTCCCTGACAATTTCCTGACGATTCTCGAGTATTCCCCCTGCACAAGGACGGGCACGACTCAACGCTAATCCACGCCCCCTTGATCCAGGCTCGCGATCGCCCGACGGCCCCCTCCTGGACGTTCCCCGCTCTCTGCGGCCGACCCTGGCCCTCGGGAGCAGCCAAGAGGGGGGCGTCCAAGAGGGGGGGGGGGGGGGGGGCGCAAATCATGGCCGGCGGCACTCGCGCGGCACAGGGGGGGAGGAGAGGAGAGGAGAGGAGAGGAGAGGAGAGGAGAGGAGAGGAGAGGAGAGGAGAGGAGAGGAGAGGAGGAGAGGAGGAGAGGAGGAGAGGAGGAGAGGAGGGGAGGGGAGGGGAGGGGGAGAGGAGAGGAGGAAGGAGGAAGGAGGAAAGGAGAAGGAGGAAGGAGGAAGGAGGAAGGAGGAAGAGAGGAGGGGAGGAGAGGAGGAGGGGAGCAGAGGAGGAGAGGAGGAGAGTCGAAAGGAGAGGCCTGTTTCCTCCCTCGCTTAGGCCACCCCCAGGAACGTATCGAAATCCGCCGACCCTGTCGGCGTGTGGAAGACGCGTCGTCCTCGGCGCGCCACCCTTAGCGAAAATGACCTACATCGTGACTGAGCTACCGCGCCACCCTCCACGAAAATGAGCTCCATCGTAATTGAATCGAAGGGAAGCCTCTTCCCTTCGATCCCTTCCCCGCCGAGGGGGGGGGGTCCCGGAGGGGGTCCTGGGGGGGGTCCCGGGGGGGGTCCCGGGGGGTCGCCACCCAGATGCGCACCCTCCCCCCGGCCTACTTTTCTGATTGTTTTGCACATCTCGAACATGTGGGGGAGTGTCCTCCTCCCGCCTCTTCGCCTCCCCCTCCTTCCTCCTACCTCCCTCCTCCTCGGGAGGGGCTTTCCCTTTGATCCGTTCCTCGCCAGGGAGGGGGGGGCGCCACCCTAAACGAAAATGGAATCCCGGGACCTCGAAAAGCTTCACACGGGCCAAGAGTGCCCCAAGAAGCCGCCAAGACGGTCCCAGAGGGTGCCGAATCGCCGAACCATCGGTCCAAGACGCCCAAGTAGCCGTCGCCGCCGCCCTCGTCGTCGCCGCCGCCGTCGTCGTCGTCGTCCTCGTCGTCGTCGAAGCCGCCGCTGCCGCCGCCGCCGCCGCCGCCGCCCTCGTCGTCGTCGTCGTCGTCGTCGTCGTCGTCGTCGTCGTCGTCGTCGTCATCGTCCTCCTCCACCTCCTCCTCCTCGCGTCTTCCTCCTTCTCCTCCTCCTCGCGTATTCCTCCTCCTCCTCCTTCTCTTCCTCCTCCTCGTGCTTGAATACCTCTGGCTGCCACCTTCATCGTGGGTGTCGTCTTCCAGGGTCGGCAGCACCGGCCGTACGGCCTTCGCAATAAGACGAGGCGCCATGAAACCCGGGGATATCTCATGGCCCACGCCATGACATACACCCCCCTAATCATCGAGGGCGCGCCACTGAATGCCCCCAAGGGGGAGGGGGTTGGGACCCCCCCCCCTTCCCCGTTCCGTCGTCGGGGACCCCCCCCCTTTCCCGGTCCGTCGTCGGGGACCCCCCATCCTTTCAAAAGGGAGGGGGGGGTCCGAACTCCCCCCCCCCTGGGATCGAAATTATACCCCCCCCCTCGCCCCCTTTCGCCACGCCGCCCCCTGACTCCAGAACCCGCCCCCCCTACCACCCCTAACTCGAATCCTCACTCCAAATCCAGACCCTAAATCCAACCCGTAACCCTAGCCCCAAACAGTTCTCGACACTCACTACTCACCACCCACTACCCACTACTCACTACTAACTGCTTCCTAAGCACTACTCACTACTCACTACTTTCTAGTCGATACTCACTGCTCACTACTCACTACGGACTACTTACTGTCTGCCCACTACTCACTACCCGCTACTCACTACTCACTCAACACTACTCACGAATCACTACTCCCTACTCACTACTCACTAAGCACTACTCCTTACTCCGTACCCACTACTCACTACTCTCTACTCGCTGCTCCCTAACCAGTACTCACTTCTCACTACTCACTACTCGCTACTCCCTACTCGGTACTCGCTACTCAATACTCAGTACTGATCACCCACTACTCACGACGTACTCCTGACTACTACCTACTCCTACTCCTACTCCCTACGCACTACACAAGACACGCTACTCACTACTCACTATGCAGCATTCAGTACTGAGTACTCACTACTCACTATTCGCTGCTCCCTACTCACTGCTCAATACTCCAAACTCGCCACTCACTACTCACTACTCACTACCCTCGACTCACTACTCACTACTCACAACTCACTACTCCCTACTCACTACTCAGTACTCCCTACCCTTTACTCACTACTCACTACCCACTATTCGCTACCCATTTCTCACGTCTCATTACACACTCCTCACTACTCCCCCCTTACTACTCACTAGTAACTACTCACTACTCACTACTTGCTACTCCCTACTCGCTACTCACTACACACTGCTCACTACTGCCTACACCCGACTCGCTACTCCCTACTCTCTATCCGCTACTCGCTCCTCACTACTCTCCACTCGCTAATCAAAACTCACTACCCACTACCCACTGAGCATTACTCCCTACTCCATATTCCCTACCCACCTTCTCCGGCTCAGAGAGGAGCAGCGGGAGAGGCCCCCTCCCCGGCTCTATGTCCGGCGCAACGGGGGGGGGAGGGTGGGGGGGGGTCCAACCCCCCCCCTTCGTTTCCATCGCCAAGGGGGGAGAGGTATCCGGACCCCCCCTCCTTAAAGCGAGGGGGGGAGGGGGGGGTTCGGAACCCCCGCCACCCCCCCCGTTAAAGGGGGGAGGGGGGGAGAGATCGAAAATCTCACCCCCACTTTGAAGGGGGAGGAGGGGGGGGGGGTCCGAACCCATCCTCCCCCCTTTTCAATTCTGGTGTCCTCCAGTGGCGCGCTTTCCTAATCATCACCCCCCTCTTGGCCGCCCCCGAAGCCCCCGCGCCCGCCGCAGGGGGGCACCGGGCCTGGGTGTCCCTCGGGTCGGAAATGGCGAGGCCCTGGCCGCGGCGCAAGGGCAGCGCGCGCGCGGCGGGGCGACGGGGGCGCTCCCCGCCGCCCTCAGAGCTCTTCGGGGGCCTCTCCTGGAGGCCTCTCTGGAGGCCTCCAAGATCCCCCAGTTCGGCGCCCGCTTGGCGACGAGGAGTAGGAGGAGGAGGAGGAGGACCGAACGGGCTCCAGCGCCGAGCGGGCTCCGAAGGGAGCCTGGGGGCAGTGCATCCCACGGGTTCGTCATTCCAATCTGAGGGGGGTCCAGAGGCAGAGGCAGAGGCTTAGACCTGGAGCAGCTTTTCGTGATCCATGCTCGAAGGTCTGGGGGGAGGGAGGACAAATAATCACACGTGACATGTCATGGGAGCGACGATCAAACACGGGCCTGACGCGAGATGGCATAGTAAGCTTACGCGGTGGCTTGCGCGGGCCGCCAGCGCGGCACGCAACGCTGGAAGCAAGGGCGCTAGCGCGCGACCTTACGCGAGCAGCTTGCGCGCAGAAATCGGTGAAGACGACTCCCCTTTTCTTGCGCCGCTCCGGTGAACTCTGCCCCTGCCGGCCAGAGTTCTGCAACGCCGGCGGGGGGTCCGAATCGGCAGGGGTGGCTGCAGCCGTGCGAGCCCCGGCGAGGGAGTCCGATGCCCTGGACCCGCAGGGCTGGGGCTCGCTCGTGGTCGCAGCAGGAGCGACCCACCTCGACGTGCTCTTGCAAGAAGCCCCCGAGGCCGATGGAGACAGCGCGGCGACTGAAATTTAAAGGCAGTCCGGCCCAGGTCTGAGCACGAGCGGGGGAACCAGAGGCCCGACGCCCCAACGACAAGTGGAGCGGGCGGGTTTTTGTTGCCCGTCTTCGGCCTCCGGGGGGGCCCCCGCCGAGGCCGCGGCAGTGTCGAGGGACGACTGGGCACGAACCGCTGGCCCCAGGGGAGCGGTCTGGACTCACGCCTGCGCGGGCCCCTGCTGGGCCCACGCAGGCGTGGGTCCAGACCACTCGAGGCGTGGGCCCCTGCTGGGCCCACGCCTCGAAAACGTGAGAGCAGCCGAACGTCTCGGGAGGAGCGAGCGGGGAGCGGGGGGGGGGGGCGGCCTGCGCTGGCCCCAGAGACGGCCCCAAGCTGGCAGCCCGCATCTCGCAAGACTGTTGTGTCTGTCAGCTCCTCTCAAAGTGTCGAACAGAAACAGAGCCCCCGGCTGATTGCCCCACCGCCTCCCCCGCTGCTGCCTGATCGAGGTAAGACCTACGCGCACAATCCCAGGCTGCTCAGAGCGAGCCTTGGACAGCCCTGCCCCGAACCCAAGACGTCGGCAGGAAGAATAACGACTCGGGACGGTCTGTTCTGACAATCTGTCGCAGGAGGTTGACATGAGTCATCGACATGTGAGGGTCCTGCACTGGCCCAGCGTTTTTGTGGGTCACTGGGGCTATCGGGGAATAGCCGATCATGTACTGGGGCACCCGCTGGCAAGCCGATGTCTTAGTTGGTGTGCCTACCGTTTTGTGTACCTCTGCGAGCCAACGCGGCCGGAAGATGTATCGGCCGCCGCGGCCGTTCCGGGACGCTCTGAATGCGTTCTGGATGGATCTGGCCAAGTTTATCTTTTTCCTGGACCTGCCTGACATGCCTCCATTGTCGCATGGGCGCTGGGCTTCCCGATCCGCTCAACAGAAATCGACAGACGGCTGCCTGGGAGGAGGAAGTTCGGCTGGAGAGTTACCGTCCCCCCAACCTCGCCGGGGGAGAGCAGGAAGAACTCTGGCTCAACGCCCGTCTTGAACACGTAGCCCTTGGCTGCGGCCTTGGCGATCTGCTCCTCGAGACGGGGCGTTCCGAAACAACAAAGTTACAGCAGAAACGCACACGGCTGGATTCACGTGTGGACCACGCAGACTTGACGCGCTGGATGCACATACGGAGGACTGTTCAAGTATCTGGCCACACGAGGGAGCAGCCTGAAAAGACATCATATGCCCACGTGCGTTTCCAGCGTATTCCCAGGCCGGCCACGTCAAGTGTACCCAGCTTTCTATTCTTGCGTTGAGACCAGATTGTCACATGGAACCTGGGCTGGCTCTCGGCCAGAATTTCGAGAAAACGCTGGGCGAGCCCTTGCGTACAGCTGGGAGCACGGCACGGAGGGGTCGAACCTGAGCGGTCCTCCACGAGGAGGTCCCAACGTCCGTGGTGAAAAGAAGACACGGCTTCGTCGCAGAAGCGCGGCTGAACCTGCTCGCCACGTGATGCTACCGATCTGATCGATCCGCGAGGATCTGGGGACCAGAGACGAGGCCAACGCGACCGCTGTGCTTTTTTCTGCTCACGGCAGCCAGATGTAGTTGGACGCTGGACCAAGAGGAGATCTCATAAAATCGCCAGCGCAGCTGCAGTCTGCAACCAGGCTTCTCGCATCAGCTGGCGTGGCCGCTGCTGGCCGCCAGACGGCCCCCCTCCTGAAGTCGGCAGGCTTGTGCGGAAGCCTGTCTGCCTCTCCTTGTCCTGTTCATTTTCCTGCTCCGCATCATCCAATAATTGTTCCTTCTTCGCCGCCTCCTCATCCTCATCATCATCATCCCCCGCACCCCGTCCTTCCCCCTCGTCCCCCTGAAGCCCCTGAGGCCTCCATGAAGCCCATGGGACCCCCTAGCCCCTACCAAAGTGTCCCTACAACACCACCCGTGCGTCATACCCCCTTTAAGTTCTCATCTTCCTCCTCCTCCTCCTCCTCCTCCCCCTCCTCCTCCTCCCCCTCCTCCTCCAGGTCCTTGCGGTGTACGAGACCAGTGTGCCGAACGGAGCCCGTTGCGCCCCATCGCGGGTTCAGAGCAGCCAGGCTTCGAACGACAACGTGGAGGAGCGGGGGGGAGAGGAGAGGAATGAGAGACGCACAGGAGGGCAGACGTGGAGAGACAGGAGGGGTATAAGACAAAGAGGCGTGAAACGATGAAGAGGAGGAGGGGAGGGGAATAAGGGTGATAGGTGGGGGAAGGGAGGCCAGGTGGAGGGAAGAAATGGGGATGGAAGGAGAAGAGGGGTATCTAGAGAAGCTGGAGAAGGGATGAGGCAGAGGAGGCAGGGTAGAGGGAGGGAGGTAGAGGAGCAGGAGGAGGAACGCAGGAGGGGCAGCAGGAGGGGCAGCAGGGGAAGGCGACGAGAAGGAGGAGGGGAGCGGGAGCAGGAAGTGAAGTAGGAGTCCGTCCAGCCAGCTCAAGGGAGCCAGCGGCCCCCGGTCACTTGAAACCTCCCTCCCACACCAAAGCACCGACGCCGTAGAGGGGGACCATCGCGTGCTCCCGCATGGCGATCGGAAGGCGCCCGCGCGCAGGGGGCCCGCTCCCGCCGACGCGGCGCTGAAAAAACAGAAGCCGGGCACAGGCCAGGGTGGAGCTCTGAGTGAATGCCTGCGCTGCGGTTCGGCGAGAGCACCATTCAGAGGAGGGGGAGGAGGACGAGGAGGAGGAGGAGGAGGAAGAGGAGGAGGAGGAGGAGGAGGAGGAGGAGGAGGAGGAGGAGGAGGAGGAGGGAGGAGGAGGAGGGGTGGCGCGCAAGAGAGAGAGAGAGAGAGAGCGACGTGTCGCTCTCGCCGAAGCGCCTACCCCTCCTCCTCCTCCTCCTCCTCCTCCTCCTCCTCCTCCTCCTCCTCCTCTTCCTCCTCCTCCTCCTCCTCCTCGTCCTCCTCCTCCTCCTCCTCCTCCTCCTCCGCCTCCTCCCTCCTCCCCCTCCTCCTCCTCCTCTTCTCCTCCTCCTCCTCCTCCTTTTTCTTCTCCTCCTCCTCCTCCTCCTCCTCCGCCGCCTCCTCCGCCGCCGCGCTGAAGCTGTGACACAAAACCAGTGTCAACAGGAAGCCGCGCCGAACTTGGGCGAGAACAACAGATGCTGTCCCGCCCACGAGCGACGCAGTTGCAAACGCATTGGGCAAGATTGGAGAGGATGCAGCGGTGCGGGTGGTCCCGCGCCCGTGACCCTGGAGTGAGGTCAGGCGTGTCCCCCGACAGGCGGACTCTGGACGAAACATTAAAAATGTCAAATCAATAGCCAAACATTGTCAAAAGTGATAGAAACATCGTCCCCAGATGTTTTCTACCGTTTGGGAGTTTTCCTCCTGTAGAGAGGCAGGCCCGACTTAACCCTGGAGGGCAGCTGGGGTCGCTAAATGAAAAACAGCATCGAGAATCAATCTGCGCAGCGCTGTCGGGGCCGCCCGATCACGCGAACGCCCTCAGGTGTCCAATCCAGAAGCTTGGTGGGCCAACGCCCGTCCTCGCATTGCTGAACTCGGCTTTGCAATCGGCGTTTTCTCTCCTGCTGTTGGTCACCCCAGCAGCGGTAACTGGCTCGCCGGAAGGATCCTTCGGCCCACCTGGTGGCGCGCGTAAGCCAGTCGACCCAGCTTTTCCTGCTCTATGATCAGATCGGCAAACGCAGTGGCGAACGAAATATGCGCGCGCCACGCCCAAGCGGGAACGCACCTTTTAGACCAAAATGTGTGCGAGGTTGTACGCGAAAACGGAATTGCACTCTCTCGCGTGCAATGTTCGCCGCGTCCCATTCTGGTTGCACATCTTGCAACATCGGCGACAAAACAGCGTCAGTGTGAAAAGCGAGCACGTATACTGTGCATTGTGTTGCGCCGTGTGTGGTGGTGGAAGCGCAGGGGGGAACGCTATCAAGACGACAGCGAGAGGAGTGGGAACACATGCTAAAAAAACATGCGGGCAAAAAGGGAGGGAGACGAGGAGGAGAGAGGAGGGCAAGGGAAGCTGGCGGCGCGCACAAGGGGGGTAGGGGGAAAGGGGGCAAGGCTTCTCAGAAGAAGGGGTGCTTCTGATAAACCTTCCCCCCTCCCCCTGCCCCCATCTCCGCGTGTCCGGCACTCTGCGGCGGCACGACCTTGGCACGCCCGTCATAATGGATGAGAAAGCAAACTTGCTATGCCCTGCACAAAATTCGGCAGCAGCCACTGCCGGGCAGGCGGCGTTCGGTCCAACATGGACAACGTCCGCGGCGACACTGACAGCGAATCCTGTCCAACATAGGCAGGGGCTGCTGCCGGTCTTCGTCCAGAGTCTTCCCGTTCCCATCTTCATCCTTCTGACAAGTGTTATGTTTGGGGGCTCTCCTCCCTGGCCGGTCCTTGAGCACCCAGCGTGGGGAATCCTCCACCTTCTTGCCGTCGATGTAGCAATCGCCTTGAGTCTATTGCGCAAGGATGCTACGAAAAGTTCCTGCTTCCTCCTCCTCCTCGTCCTCCACCTCGTAGACCCCGCCTGGAACCTGGAAACGACCCAGAGCTCCCCCGCACTTGCACGGCTCCGCCAGAACTCCCCAAACCACTCATCATCATCCTCCATCATCCTCGTCCTCTCTTCTTCCGTCAATCCTCGTGTTCCTCGCCCTCCTCTCAGACATCCTCGCCCTCCTCCCGTCGTCATCGTCCTCTCTCCAGTCTTCCTTGCCCTCCCCCCTCGTCGTCGTTCTTCCCTCTCCTCTCCTCTCCTCTCTCGTCCCTCCTCGTCCCCCCTCCTACCATCATCTCTCCTCCCTCCTCGTTCTCCTCTCTCCTCGTCGATATCCCCCCTCCTCTTCCTCGTCCCTTCCGCTCCTCCTGCCCCCCCCGTGGAGGGTCCCTCCTCTTCCTCGTCCCTTCCTCGCTCCCCGAACAGGGTCCCTGCCTTTCCCGCACCCATGGCCCCAAATGCAACGGCCCGATCGGCATATGAGCCTGAGGCAGGCAACGAACGGGGGCCACGGAGATGGCGGACGCGGCCGATGCGAAGCCCAAGCCTGAGCCCCAGACATGATTGCGTCGAAAAAAATCAGGACGCGAGGTTTTTGGCTGCTTTCGGCCCCGGGGGCCCTCGCCGGGCCTCGGGACTGTCAACAAAACGACTCATGACGAAAAGCCGGTCCCGGGGAAAGGGTCGGGACTTCCAAGGACGCCGTTCTGAAAGAATCAGGACGTCGCATGTCTGGGGCCAAACCTGGGGATCCACCAAAGGGAGTGGCCCCGAGGGAGGGCATGAGTTCGATCCGCTGGTGCAACGAACTGCCGCAAACACAGGTGCCCCCCGCATGCCCCGCCCATTAGCAACTATCGGGAGGTGCCGGCGGCTGGGGGGCATCCGTGTTGGGCGGCTCGGTGCAGAGCGTCCCGGAGAAATGTTTGATGGTCCCGGGGCCCGATAACGGGCCCCAGGGGCCGAGATCGAGAAAACAGGGCCCCGATTGACAACATCCTATCGTCGGAGATCTGGGCTTCTGGAGGCCCGCACACGTGCCGCCCGCGATGGCGTTGGGTGCGGGCGGGGGCCAGCAGTGGTGAACGTTTTCTCACTCGGCGTTTCGGCATTGGGCGGAGGGGGGGAGGGGGAGGGGGGGTGTCTGGCTCCATACCTCTGCCTGGTGCGCCTGTTTGCAGCAGTGCGTCCTCTGGGGGAGACCCACCTGCTCGAAGCAGGCGCCCAAAACATCCAAGCTCTACTCCATGGGAGAAAGGAGGGGGAGTGGGGGGGGGGGGGGCGAGGGCCCGCGCCGATCGGCCAAACAGTGAACAAGAAAACAAGCCCGTGCACGAGCGGCACCGCCCAGGCTGCTTCGGCGGCCGCGGGGTCGCCGATCACGAAGCCGAGCTCCTTCTGGAACGGAACCTGCAAGAGGGCACGAGGGGGAAAAGGAGGAGGAGGAGGAGGACCAGTGTAAACCCAAGAGTCATCAACGATGTTGGAATAAGCCCTCCCTCCATAGCTCCCTCTTCGTTGGCCCCTGCAACGGTTCATTTTCACTGAGGAAACTGCCTCGTTGGAAGACAACCGTTTGAAGACCCTGAAGCATGCCAAAACATTGTTCTTGGGATTCACACGGCACGGATCAACCTGACTGTTGCGTCTTGACGGTCCTGCATCGCGCCAGAACGCTATTCCTGGATCTTCAATACCGCGAACCAACGTAACGTTCGGACCCTCATAATCCTGAGCCTTTCCAAAATACCATTTCTGGTGCGCTGATGATGGGCCATGGGAATCCGTGAAGCCCTTGCATATGTTAAGAACGAATGTGCGCGGCGCTAAGGCGATAGCCACGTTTTGAAAAAGAACTGCCCACAAACCGTGCAACTCTTGCAATGTTTAAGAACGAGTGTGCGCGGCACTAAGACGACAGCCACATGCTGAATACGGGTCGCCCTCAATCCTCGAAGCTCTTGCAGATGTTATCAGCGAATGTGCGCGGCGCTAAAGCGAGAACCACGTTTTGAAAACGACCCGCCCTCCATCTGTGAAACTGTTGCCAATGTGTAAGCTTCAGGGTCACAAATAGTGAGGAAGTCTCAGGCGAAACACCCGACCCGCCCTCAAAACCAGCCTCGGGTGCGCGATAGGGAGATGCTGCACAAGGAAAAACACATGGCGGAGGCGGAGGAGGCGGCGGGGGAGGGGGGTGAAGAGGGGGAGGAGGCGACGACGAGTAGCGGACGGGGGGGGGAGGGCCATGGGGCACACAGGGCGGGCGCCCTGCCGCCCGTGGAGCAGCACCGCTGCCGCGCCAGGGGAGCGCAGAGGCGGCGTGGGAGGCGGCGACGGCGGGCGGCGCGCCCGGAGGGCCAGGCCGAGGGGGCGGGCCCTTTGTCCCCTGTCGCAGGAGAGCGAGGAAAGGCGACACCGGCACCGCCAGGGCGAGGAGGTGCGAGGAGGCAAGGGTGGTCTCCCTGGTGGTGTGCCCCCCCCCCCCCCCTCTCGCTCGAGACCTCCCCAGCCTCCAGCCCGGGGAGGAGGCGCCGTGGACCTCCTCGGTGGAGGTGGCCCCCCGGGGGGTGTTGGCGTCGCGCCTCCCCCCTCCGAGAGGGGGAGGGCCTTCCCAGAAGGCGGCGGGGCCTCTCAGGGCCCTCGGGTGCATTCTTTGTTGATTCGAGGCCAGAGCGGGCGTTATGGGGGGGGGAGGGGAGGGGGCGGGGGGGGGGGCATAACGTAGCGCTCCCCCCTCCCCCCCAGACTGTGGTGCCGGACGCACTGCGGCAGAGCCGGACGCACTGCGGCAGTGCCGGGGACGCACTGATGGGGGGGGAGCGTTACGTTATAGTGGGGGGAGGAAGGGTAAGGGGGCAGAATGCGTGTTATGGTACAGAGGTTTAACAAACAACAAAATAAGATGTGTGTACATATACAGATACGACAAGAAAAACTTCGGCCTTTTGAGAAGCCGTCCCTGTCTTCGGAGAAGGCCTCGAGAGCTCCCGAGGATGCTGGAGGTCCTCCGAGCCCTCCGAGAGGGAGCGCCCCCTCTGCCCTCCACCGCGGGGCGCGGCCGACGCGAGGGTGGCGACGGGGGAGTGGCGAGGAGGAGCGTCGCCAATAGCACAGAAGCGCGGGCACGGACAGGCTGTCAGCAATTCGGCCCCCTCCCGTTCCATCTGGGTTCGCTTGGGGCAGCTGGACTTGGGAGTCCTCTTCCTCCCTCCTCCTCCCCCTCTTCCCCCTCTCCCCTCTCCTCCCCCTCCTCCTCCTCCTCCTCCTCCTCATCCTCCTCCTCCTCCTCCTCCTCCTCCTCCTTCCTCCTCCGCCCGCTCCTCCTCCTCCTCCTCCTCCTCCTCCTCCTACTCCTCCTCCTCCTCCTCCTCCTCCTCCTCCTCCTCCTCCCCTCCTGCCCCTCCCCCGCCTCCTCCTCGCCGACAACGCCGACAACGACGTCGACGACGGCGGCGACGACTCAGGCTGGTGCGCCTGCGGGAAAACTACAGCATCGCAAAAGAAGACACGACCAGAGCCCCAAACATACGTCCTGCTGCACATCTGTGATGGCCTCGGGGCCTGGAACCGGACGAAGACGCCCGGTGTAGAAAAACGAGAAACGCCTGGACCCAGACATCCGGCGTCTCGATTTCCTCGGGACACAAGCCCCCGACCTCTCGACCCCTTCCCCGGGACAAATGTTTCACCCCGAACCGTTTCTCCACGGTCCCGAGGCCCAGGAAGGGCCCCAAGGGGCCGAAGACACGGAAGAGCCCCCACCATCAATGTTCACGAAGGACGTCGAGGGGGGGAGCGAGAACGGAGCTGCGCACGCGAACCCCGACCCTCTCCCGTCCCCATGCATGCGGCGTCCCAATTTTTTCAGGCCGGCGTCCCTGGAAGCCCCGACCCGTTCTCTGGGACCGGCTTTTCGTCATGAGTCGTTTTTTGACAGTCCCGAGGCCCGGCAAAGGGCCCCCCGGGGGCCGAAAATAGCCAAAAGCCTCCCGTCCTGATTATTGTACGACGCGATCGTCTGGGGAACGGAGCGGAGCCACGCGAACCCCGATCCTCTCCCGTCGGGGGCGGCGCTGCGGCGGCGGCGGGCGCGGGCGGCGAGGCGGCGGTCCTGTATGAGCGTCGTGGGGTCCGGAATCGCAACCATGTCCGCTGCCTTCGCGGGCGGAGAGCCCCCTGGCCAAGGAGGAGAAAGAAGGGGGCGAAGGGGGCGGAGGAGGTGGAGGAGGAGGAGGAGGAGGAGGAGGAGGAGGAGGAGGAGGAGGAGGAGGAGGACGG